TTATGTTAGTGACTACTGCAATGTCTGTCATAAGAATATTTTTACCTCTTCCACTAGCCAAGTATACTGGAGGTCCGAAACCACTCAGTTTGTACTTGAAATGTACGCCAATAAGGTACCAAAAAAATATTTATATTTCAATTCTTTATGCAATCAAATACACGCTGTATGAGGCCGAACCGAAGCCATTTTTTGATTTCATTTAAGAAGACGATGTTTGTGTTACAGATTACTTTGGAGTATACCATATGTTTTGTTGATTTATTATACTCCATTTTTAATTAAAAATAATGGAGTTGTGAATGTGCCAATATATTATTATTTTATCTTAGGTTTTCTTTTTACAATAAATGAAGTACGTCTAAAATTGTATAGCACACTGATACATTTATTGATCATAAATACATTTATGAATATAAAATTTGTTTTTAATAAAGAAATACATATTATTTTCATGATCTTAAAAAAAGATAACTGATATGTACTGATTTATGTATTTTAGCTGCTGATTAACATCATGATACTTTCGTATTTTACTTTCTTCATTAAGATTAGTGATTCTCGATTTGGCGGCACTTACTTAACATAATTGAATACAGCTCGAACTTTATCATGGGTAATACCAAATACTGTTCTTTTAAAAATGGTTGATATTTTAACATTTAAGAAGTGTTCAAACGATGGCCATGGTAGTTGTTCTACAACAGATTTTCAAAACGTAAGACATTTTGAATTTATTTAATTTGTATTTAGTTACCATCGTATTTTTAATTAATTTGTTTAACTATTGCACAATTTTAATGAAATATTTGCTATGATTTGTTTAGATTTGTGATACAAAACAAGCCCATAATTGTGTGACAATTTTGGACGGTTACTACGTTGAAGTAGCCATTTGTATGGTGATCGGATTTGTTTGGTATGGTATTTGTAAGAGCCAGTTCAAAATTTTTCAATCAAAAGATCGTTCACATTGGATTGTTGATTTGGATAGACCAATGTCAGTATATCTTTAAATCACACCGTCACTTATCATCGACCCGACAACAGTACCTATTATTCTATAAATTATTTTTAAAATTCTATCATCTAATTACTAAATTGTTATTCTGTATTACTTGTATGTATGTTTAGTACATTTTATAAAAATTACTTTATTTTTAGTTAATTATGTTGTACACTTTTACAATTTTAACTTATCAAATAATACTGGTACCTATATAATAACTGCAGTTATATAGTTAAATCTTATATGGTTATACCTTATAACTTATGGGCAAAAATATGCCATAAATGTTCAGGTTTTATAGTGATGTGTGTTTTTGTTTTTTTCGTTACCTGTCATCAACCTCTTGGAAGAATAATAAAAGGCGTTCTTCAACTAAATGTATAGACATTTAGAAGTGTTGGTAAAAATGTTTGGCTTGGTAAAAAACCTTGAAAATATGATATGAGATCACAGACAAGGAGTTTTAAAGCAATTTAAAAATATAAAAACATAAAAATACACGGACATGGTTGTTTTTATACTCATTTTAAATTTAAATTTTGAAGCCACAACAATTTGGAAATTGCTTTGTATTTAAAAATGTATAAAAAAATTAATTCGTACAGTTAAGGCTTGAAAATGTAGCATATAATATTACGTATTTATTAATACGTATCTCTCGTACAGTTCTTATCTAAAAATCTAAAAAAATATATAAGTCCAATATTTTATTTCACAAATATTTGAAACTAACATTTCGATGGAATCAGATATTTAAATGAATATAATAACGATTTTAATTATTATTTTTGTTTTTGTTATAATTATTTATTCATGTGCCCCAAGCCCCCAACTGCTAAGGTTAGTTGGTGTTCTCAAATGTTCAATAAATTAAAATTGTATGCAAAATATTTTAAATATAATACATGAATTGTTTAAGTTATTTTAATTTGGTAATTACATATGATATAACTAATGTGTGTGTGTCTTAGTTTCTGGATCAGATTCGTCTTTTTGAGAAGTTGAATAAGAATCAATGAAATATCGATTTGAAATATTTAGATTCATTTCAGGTATTTTTACCGTTTTACGATAAATTTGCATTGATTCAAAAGTTAATAACAATAATATATGATATTAATATTTGAGTTTATATACTAACAACAAATAATAATTAATAATATAATAAATTCCGGTAAAATACGATTAAATATATCATTTTTTAGCAACACTTTGGGTATAGAATATTTTATGCAATGTTGTCACATTTAAACCAAAAATGTTTGATTTATTATTATTTTCACTTATTATTACACCATTAATTATTATAATATCGAGCTATGGAGAATTCATTGCTAAAACCAGGAGGGGGTGTCAACCATCAGGAAACTAGACCGCAGGAAACATTACTAACTGCGGCGAGCCACACACCAGGCCCCTAAGTTAAGTACATATTAATATATTATAAGTGTAAATAATATTTTAATATCTCATAATATTATGTTTTAACTATTCAATACCTTTATGTTTGGGAAGGGGACATTTAAGTCTTATCTGTATTCATATAAATATACAAAATCACTATTGTTTATTAATAATTTTCTAACGATGTACCTACAACAAATATTATTATATGCTGGTACCTATTATAAACATATACTAATAATAGTTTTAAAGTTGACCCTAGTTTTAAATTAATTTGTTTAAACTTTCAAGTAATAACTACAGCATAATCAATAATTACATTGAATAATTTCATGGATCTAAGGAATAGTCTTCGCCAACAGTCAACAAACCAGTTTGCTTTCGACAACACACATAAAAATTACTAATCCCTACTCCATCTCAAAATTAACTTCTGACCTATGCGATAATATTTTTGTTCCCAGACAGAATACAGAATAGGTTATGGCTTATCTGAACATAAAAATATTCAAACTGTACCTATGCCAAATCCTATTCCAAAGCCGACAAAGTCAACATGCCAATAACTGTTGCATAATTAAATATCAAAACATCCATGACTCTCCCATTTGTACAAATTTACTCTTCAAGTCTCCTTATTTATAAATATATATATGTTATAAATAAATCATAAACCCACTTATCACAGTACTCACAATAGTTATTGACAAATTACTACCAAAAAATAAATTATCAACTAACCGAATATCTCTTCCAAAATAACGAAACATATCTCTCAGTTTAAAATGCAAACTGCATAGAGACCTATAGCTGACCAACTGGTGATTTTCTCTTCATGTTAGTCATGTTCATGTTTTATTGTCCATCAAATATTCTTACTAATTGTATTATATTATGTACAGATTGTATTGTTTCTAACAAGAGAAAACATATTCAATTTTATTAACATTTTAACTAAAACACTTTAAAAAAGTTGTGGCCATATATTTTCGAAATCTCCTGTACTAAAAATTTGAGAACCTTGTACTACATTTTATAGCTTTATTTACAGAAATATAAAATGTATGTTAAACATAAATGAAAAAAAACTAAATAAATTAGAACCGACTTTTCTAGTGCTTAAGAAACCTAAATATTTATTGGGAGGTAAAACTTCTCTAAGCATTATCACCGCACTATGGTTCAGGTAAGGGATTGTCTATAACTGAGCTAAGTAAAATGTTTGGCATTTATAATATAATGCAACATTTTGCTTGATATGTTTTAGTGATGATTCTATATTTTCAAATTTTAATTAGTTTCATCTTCATCAAAAAATCGATCGAGACTCCCAGAACAGTAATATGAAGGTCACAGTCAATACTATCTACGTATTTTTTAAAATTTAAAACCGGATTTTTCCGTTTGGATAGTGATAAGTAAAAAAGCTATTTGTAAAGAAGGAATTCGTTTTATTTTGATCATTCACTGAATAATATTGAAGTTTAAATCGTCGAATTACATCAAGTGGGTACGCACGACGCAGATATTTTAAATTTTTTATGGCGTGTCGATCGGGGTGTCATCAAAGCATTTTATGCTTTGCACTGACCATTAGATTAAATTTATGCACCAACTTGTCCTCAATTATCGGAAGATAATAAACAAAAATTGTGAATATTGCAAAAATACAATTTGAATTAGATTTTTACGTGCCAGGAATTAATTATTTTTACACGAAAAATCCTCAAAAGTAAGTGATCGAAAAATACTCAAGTATTTATGATGCTATTTCAAAACAGCTCCATAAAGATTGTTACATTGAAAATTTCCATTTTCAATTATTAATCGTTACAACGATAATAATATATTATCATATGATTGATTGACTTTCATTCAAGGAGAATGCAAAGATAATAATAAAAAAATTACGTAATAAAAAGCACTTTTCTGTGATCGAAAAATTAAAATCTATACAATCACCATTGTTGTATGAACATATTAGGTTATGACACTTGCCTACCTATGTAGATGGTATTAAATATCATTTAATTTATATTTAATACTGTAGAACTTAACATTTATAATTATAGTAGAATCAAAAAATGTTACGAATATTTTGTTTAATATTATTATATTGTTGAATAAACGTATAATATAATATTATATAATATTGTTTTTTATATTATTATTAAATTATTTACTGAATATTTTGAATGATTGAGTTACAAATAAAATTTAGACATTTTACAGGATACACTAATCACATGATTTATATGATTTTCCGATAACATGTTCAAAGGATTTTTATGGACTCGTAAGCGTAAATTTATTTGTATAATGATTAATATGAATAAATATTAATGATTAATATGAAATAAAAATGAGTATTTATATAAATATATTATAGTTATAGTTTTGATGAAACTTGCAATTACAATAAATTTAATAGCACCAATTAAGAAAAAAGTACCGATAAAAATATTAAATTAAGCCAGATAAAAAGTTATAGGTACATAAATATTATTTATCAGATAACATTTTTAATTACTTTTTAGATAAAACAAAATGTTGGTTATCTTTTTAGAATACCTACCTACATTTTCGTAGTTTTGATTTCGTCATTCGTATATAGGTAACCGTCGTGTCTCATAGGTGTAGGTACTTAATGTTTGAATCACCTTCAAATAATGAAATCTTTTAAAAAAATATCCTATTATATAATAGGTATATCACGTATATAATTCCGTAGTTTTAATTATTAATTTCCTAATAAAATTGGCAATATTTTTAATAACTTGATTGATTTCTCGATAATCTGGTTGTTGTAAATCTAACCCCCGTGGAATGTTAAAAGTAGGATAATATAATTTTAATGTTTTTTAATACTTATGTTGATTATTTTCTAGATTATTCTGTTTGTTCTTGATTTTTTTTCTATTGCCAAAGGTGTTGTGATATTTTGTGCAGTATATTTTCAAGTCGATTGATCATGAGTAAATCACACACGAAGAAATACGATCCCGAGGAAGCTGAAGCAGCTAACAAATCAACTATGATAGACGTTCCTAATCTGAAGGGAGATTGGTTAAACTTCTACCTGTTGTTATTGCTTTATGTCCTGCAAGGATTTCCAATAGGCTTAACCTTTACACTTCCATTAATTTTACAAAGTAGAAAAATGGTGACTTATGAAGAACAGGTAACTTTTCAATTAATAGCTTCCGGTGACAAAAACTATTACTTAAAAATATAATAACTATAAAAGTTGTGTAATTATAATAAATTATAATATTACAAGACATTAGTAGTGTCATAAAATTATGTTTTAATTTAGGCTTTATTCAGTATCGTGCTTTGGCCTTTTACTTTGAAAGTTTTATTGGCCCCATTAGTAGACTCACTCTACGTACAAAGGATTGGAAGAAGAAAATCGTGGTTGTTGCCTCTTCAATATTCAGTTGGTATGTAGCAGTTTATCATAATGTATTATATATTACAAAAGTTTAAGCATAAAGATAAAAATGTTTTTCAATTAAACTTTGACCTGATTTTTGTGGACATTTTATTAATTCTTGTGTTTTTAATTTATAATGTTGTGCATTTATTTTATTATTATATTTATAAAAAAACAATCCGATTATTATAGGGATAATTTTGATGTATATGGCAAGCAACATCGATATTTGGTTACCCGAATCAGGCAAACCAAACCTTAAGATGATTGTATCTGTGGTATTCGCTATGAATGTCTTGTCCACAATTCAAGACGTTGTCGTTGACGGTTGGTCGTTAACTATGTTAAAAAGGTTCGTTGTTTTATTACTTTTAATTCTAAGCATAACAGGGAAAATACTGGGTTTGTGTAATGATAAGTTTGATAAGACGTTTAATGCTTTAAACATTTTATTGAATTGGGTATATAGGTATTATCTATAGGTTAAACATTTTAAGTTGTAACACGAATTTATTGTACTTGAAGCAAGTCATTTCTTGCATTTTCTGTTAACTTAATTAACTTAAAATTATTTGAAATTGTGTAATTTATTATAAGTACACCTCTAACAAAATCTTTTAAAGTTTTCGGTAATTCTAACATTACATAGAATTATTTTTAAAACGTTTTCCTCTAATTGTATTCTAATATTTAAATAAGTCAGTGTCTGTTTCGTATCCAAAATAAACAATTTTTTTTTTAAGTTTGATTTTCCACTGTTATTTGAAATGTTATCTTTGTACAGAAATAACGTGGGTCATGCATCTACTTGCAATACTTCTGGGTTACCAATTGGAATGTTTATTGGTTCAGTTTGTCCAATTCTGCTGGTATCTGAGGATTTCACCAATAAATATCTTCGAGTTATGCCTACTACTGGTGGTTTGATAACATTGCAAAGTACGTATGGATAGAGTAAAATGTATGTTCATGTTATTTGCATTTAATTGTTGTACGTGACAAATAAAATCTTATTTCGTATATTGGAATACGTTTTTGTATACTAAATAAAAGACAATAAAAAGTGAATTGATGATAATATCCAACATAATCGTAATCATAATCAATATCGGTAGTGGCAATGATCGGCATTAAATTACTCAGAATCAAAATAAAATTTTATACCCACAATCTACATTGCATATAGAAATTGTAATATCGTAAATCAGTAGTTACAAACTCAAACCTGTCCATCAATGTATATCTCAGAACATAAATAAATATCAGTGATATAGATTCCAATACAAACTTTATTTCAGCAAAGTTATCTAACTAAGCCATCTGTGATTTGCATTACTATAAATTATTATTTTCTAATCAATATTAAACTTATACTTAAAAACTTTAGATAACATTGCACTTTTCATAGAAAATAATTCATAATTCATTCTGTTTATTTAGGTCCATAGTGTTGAAATAATTTTATCTAAATTCTCTATTTTCCTATTATTTCGGGTGTTTATTTACGTCGTAAGAACATTAATAAAATAAATTACTTTAATAAAGCAATATACATATTATTGTATAAAATATCTTAGGTTGACAGATCATCTTCGCTCAGAATTGATTTTATTAAGCCATTGAATGACCATTACAGTGACCCACTCGAAAGCTACTTTTTGGTTAAGTACCCACAACCCACTTACGTGCACACCCAATTTTTTTCATTGGTGTGTTTGAGTGTGGATTTCTTATTTCGATGTTTGGTTTTTTAATAAACCAAGTTTACAAATATTTTGATAAATATAATATATCACATTCTTTTTTTGTTAATTTATCATATGCTTGAAATTGCTAGAGAAATAAGTAGTATTATAATAATAATAAAATCGTTAAATTAGTGATGGTGTACAACTTGAATCCAATAATAAATTATTGTGTACTATGAAAAACGATTCTAGGCGAGGATGACCTAACTTTAAAGATGCCGAGATATTTTGCACCACCAGTCGATATCAAAAAAATAATTGTTAATTAATAAATAAACATTTCTACCTACGTATATATTGCTGTAACATTTTTAAAAATATTTGTGTACTATAAATCTATGAAATTATGAATGGTACTATTAATAGTTTTATAGTATGTATAATTACATTATCGCCTTTATTGATCAATTTTTTTTTATAAAATTCGATTTATAGTGTCGCGAAGAAACATTTATCACGCTTTTAGAGTTTGCTGTTCTGTATGTCAACATGTGTGACATAATAAGATTAAATAAAGTTATTTTAGATTTTAGAAAATGTATCACTTGAATATTACTGTGCATCATAAAAGTTTTGTGTAGAGCGTGGGATCAACATTTTTTTTATTTCGATGGTGGGTCAAAACTGTATTTAAACGAGGGGTTAGGGAAAAGTTTTTGAGTCTTTGGCCACCGCGATAAATCCCAATGGGAAGTATGTTTAAATAATAAATAAAAAAAACCATTATACTTCTCTTGATTATTGGTTTCTTTAAAATTTAAATGCAATACTTATAGACTACACTATTATACTGAAATGTAGTTACTACTAAAATATATGAATTGTTATTTGATATTTTTGTCTAGGTTTTTTATTCTTATGGAGCATTATATTTTTATTGATAACTACATTGATTGGTATATTTAAAAAGGAGAAAGATAGTAGACTCGAATTGGACCACGTAAAGATAAGCGTTTTTCAAAATTACAAACTGTTATGGGACATTATTAATAAGCCTAAAATAAAACTATTAGCAATGGCATTACTTACAGCAAGGGTGAATATTATTCAGTTGCGTTAGAATGTTATGACATTTTTTAATTCTTCAATAATACGTAATTATCGTTAACATATTATGTTTTATATAATTATAGTTTGGATTTTCTGGAACGGACTCTGCATCGAATTTGAAATTAATCGATGCCGGGGTATCTAAAGATGACATTATGATAACAACAACCGGAATGTATGCAGTCAAATTTATCATGCCGATTTTCGTATCAAAATACTGTTCTGGTTCTAAACCAATGGATATTTATCTGACAATGATACCAATCAAGTAGATAAAATACAACCTTATTAATTGTACTTATACTGATTAATTTATACTGCTAATGGGTAAAATTGATAAGTTATTAGATTTATTTATTTGTTAGTCTTAGTCATCACTATTATTAATTAATTACGGTTAGAGTCAGTAAGCTAAATATGATATGCAGAGTGATACACCAAACATACTCACCATATTATTTTCTTTGAACACTGAATTTATTCAAATTCCTGATTTTTGGAATTGTTGCGTTTACTTAAGGACTGCATTTTTAAATACTTTGATTTTTACACTATGTAAGAGAGTGCCATGATGGTGATTCAAACTTCTGTTTGTCAGAAAAAAAATCTTGAGGTATCTAAATCAAAATTTGGACAAGTAGTTTTTGAGTTATTAAAATGTGTATACTAAGGGTTATTATTTATTGAAAATTGTTTTACAAAACTATAAAATAGATATGATATTTAATTTAGTATTTTAAAACTATTTAAACTAACTTTATAAGTCAAAAATGCTTAAAAAAATTAAAGTAGTTCAAATTTTAACTCAAAAAAGGGTTTACAATTAAAAATAAATTGTTTTGTGAGTTTGTTGAGTGCAGTAAAAATAAAAGTTTGAATTAATTACGTTTCAGATTGATTTGGAGTATTACGTACATGATATTGATTTATTACACACCAAGTTTAATAAATCATAATGGAGTTATAAATGTTCCGATTTATTATTATTTCTCATTAGCATCAATTTTTACAGTGAATGAGGTAAGTAGGTATCTACTTATATTTAGGCAGATATTTCAAAATAATTGAGTGCGTATATTATTAAGTAAATTCAATAATTCTTTAGGCTGAAGTAAAGCTATGGTGAAATTTCGAATTGGCAAAAGAGAAAGTATAGGCATATAATGTTGTTTATTTTATCATTTGAAGTTTAGTTGTTGAAAATAAATACATTAAACTTTTTCGCATTGAATAAACCTCGATATTAATTAGAAATAGAAGTAAAAAATAGAAGTTGTCTAATAGTAGTAACTAATATACTAAAGTCTAAAGAGAAAAAGCTTATTTGAGAACTTTGATATCTCAATATAAATATCAATAATTATTTCTAAAATAACAAATTACTAAGCCACGGAATAGAACACACATAATTGCAAAGTTATTGTTTATGTTAATTGAAAAAAAAATGAACGATAAGTATTCAGTTATTTCAGTTATTATTTCTGTTTTCAGATGCTGAGTTTTGTCATGTTATTATCGTTAACGGCTTTCTTTTGTCGATTAAGCGATCCACGTTTTGGCGGCACGTACATGTCGTTATTTAATACATTTTATTATGTGGGATGGTTAATACCGAATACTTTGGTTCTAAAAATTGTCGCCCTTCTAACTTTTTGTACATGCTCGAACGACATACGAAACAGCTGTCTTACACCAGATTCAAAAAGGGTAAGATATAATTATTAGTTAATTAATGATTGGTATTAGAATGTTGTTTCATTTCGTTGATATCACTAATTTTGTATTCAGTATCAAGTATTCAAGCTATATACACTTTATTTTTAACCACTAAATGAAAACACCTAAAGATAATATTTCTATATACTTGCAATATATATTATGCTACTTTATACATCTTAATTTTAATGTATATAGCTATGTGCCTTAAATGGAGGAAGTTGTCAAGTGTACGTGGACGGCTACTATTTGACAGTAATCATATGTATGGTCATTGGATTCGTCTGGTACTTTTTTTATAAAAATAAACTTAAAAATTACCAACCAATGAGCAATTCAGAATGGTCAATTAACGTGTCATAAATCATGTGTCAAAAACAGTGAATTGAGTGACATTCTTAAAAAATCTAAACAACTAGGTATTAATAGTATTCTTCAATAGTGTAACCTAAGCTCGATGATATTAAAAAAATATTCATTGAATTTTTTTTTTTTTTGTTAATGTATATCAAAAATTATACTAGGTACACTAACCAAAAAAAAAAAAAAATGTACAAACGAAGCAATAAATTTTTCAAATGTTGTAAATTATAATATCTATGATCATATTATACATAGTTATAACCCATCTAGTTCACACTCAGTGACGTCATAGGTACGTATAAGAGGTTTGAAAACTTCTATTCGAACGTCAGTATCGGTTACAAGTTCCATAATAATATATTTTATGTGTCGGGAACAACATGTTACCTCCAAAAATAAATTGTTGGTAGGAATTTCTTTACCGTCTCTTGTAATTTTTAAACCATGACGGTTTCCAGGAACTGTACGGGTTATAGTATTAAATATACTTTGTTCATATTGTTTTATAATATTTAGTGTATTTTGTTTATATAGTTGTAGTGAAATAAAATATTTTTTGATTATTCTGTGATATATAAATGTAAATATAAATATTGTTAAATACATAATATATATTATAAAATATATAATATATAATATGCATATTACATAATACAACTGATGTAGGTTTATATACTATTGTAAATTCTGAGTTCCAAATTTAAAAATTGTGTGATATACTAATTAACATGCTCGATGACTGTGTAAGATGTTTCTATACGTTTAATGGATTCTTTAAACCTTAGATAAAGCTTTTGATAAATTTACATGGCAAATCTATTGTTAATGGTCAAAATTTGAAATTACAGTAATAATTATGGAAAAATTAACCAAAACTAATTACGATTAGAGGGCATTGACCACGATTCATGCAATGCCATACAAATCTGCATCAGAAAACGAAATCTGAACGGAGATCAGATAAATTTTTACCTATTGATACTCAGTGGAGTGCACAAATGGCGATATAAGGGATAATACCCCCTCCCATTTTTCGAAAAATCCCTTTACTTGTTTTTTCGGTAAGTATTACCACCATAACTGTTCATTTAAATGTATTATTAGTTATAATAACCTCCTCCCCTCCACTCCTCAAGTGCAGATGTGTAAGTGCATTAGACGCTATAATTATTACAAAAAGTTTGTAATAATTTATTTACATTTATTTACAAAAAGTAAGGCTTGAAAGTCTACCGACTCTAGTCTAACATTTATGGTTTTTTCCATGTAAGATGGTTAACATTTTCAAGAGTAATAATATGTATGATAATAAATAATAATTTAATAAAGTTTAATTGGATGAATTTAAATTTCAAAAATAAATAATTTAGTACCTATGATATGAAATTATTTAGTTTATCACAAACATGGGTCATAATTTATTGTAACAACCCACCACGAGTAACTTTTCTTATTTTGAAATTGAGTTGTTATCGGGGGTTTCTGAAATGGATGAGGTTCATTAGTATAGCGTACCCACAGTGATGGCCCAATGAAGATTTTTTTGAAAATCAGGGTTTATTCAAATTATTTGTAGTACATTATCTTAAATGTAAAAATCGTTGTTAGGGATTAGCTCGAATCACAGACTAAAAAAAAGTAGTGTGACACATCGGTTTGTATGAAGACACTACAAGATAAACAGTTATGATAGTTATTTGTTGAAATTTAATATACATGACTAATTAAAACAGTGTTTTACATTGCTGACTAATAAAAATTATGAAATAATAACAAAAATGGGGTTAACAGTGTTTTAAATGATCGAATCAATTTAACTTTATGTCTTAGGTCTAATAGAACCTACAAGTTACCAGAACAAGACAACATTTAAATTTTTTAAATTTTAAATAAGTATATTCTGTACTTATAAGTAGGTACCTACTTAAGTAGTTTAATGTATTTAGATGTATTCAAATATTTAAGTCTTATAGAATATTTAATAACTTAATATAACATGCAATTTAAAGCTCATCTAAATAAGTTAAATGCATGAAGTATCATTTTTGTTTTTAATACTTATAAATTATAACACAATTTTTACTGGATTATGAAGAACAGTTTTTGTCTCAATCCTTTAAAGGCCAATTTAATCTACTTATCACTTAAATTTGAAAATTTGTTTAACGATTGTTTATATAAATTCCTAAAAATGTGTGTGTTATTATAAATATAATGTGAATGAGATAATTTGAATTCTTTGAGTTCGATTTAGATTTTTTGTAGGAGGAGTTATACAAGACTTACAAGTTGACTTGTGTCGGTTTTTTATCATTCATTTTTAAAACCGTATGCCAAAAACGAATAAAAATATGTTAACAAAAGACATAATTTATAATAAATAAAAAGTTCGAAAAATGTAATACATTATACGTAATACAACAAATAACGACGAACAACCGTGATGGCATAATTATTGATTTTAATTATGTCAATGTTATTTGTGAATAACTATGATGACAATGTGAATATAATAACTTCGATACCGATAGGCCTAACATTGTATATTACGTTTTATGCCTTTGTGATATAGTTTGGTTATGGGAACAACGTATGTCGTATGGTGTATATGTATTTTATATTCATTTTTAGAATTTAAGATTTCCTGAAATTTCTTGGAAGGGGGGCTTGTAGCACCCTCAGCTCTTTCCCTGGATACATCACTGATTAATCAAGTATTGTAAATGACAACAAATAACTATTACCACTGTTTATTTTGTAGTGTTCTCATACACATCGATGTGTCAGACTATTTTTTTTTTAGTCGGCGCTTCGAGCATGAAAAACGCTCGACAAGCGCAAAAACGATGTGAACCTTCGATTTGTATAATCATTTCGCAAAGAATACAACTAGAGTGATTATATTTACATTTAAAATAATGTTTTAAAGATAATTTAAATGGACCCAGACTTTGAATATAGAAAAAAATTTCAAAAAAACCTACATTGGCCATCACAGTGACTACCTACACATATACTAGTGACTTCATCCATTTCAGAAACACCATGCATATTGTATGGGTTCTATTGAATTATTTATTAACAACGAACATATTCTAATATTCCATATATTTTTCCGTTATTTTTTCCATACAACGTAAAAACCTTAAATTAATTACCTACCTACTTAAAATACGAATAATTCTTTTGGGAATTCAATTATAAGTGCTTACATATTTTTGATTCAATTTATAGCACAAACCGTTATTTTTAAACTATTAATTCAGCAGGTATTACATTTTGCCTTTATTTTTAAAATGATTTAATTTTATTTATGAACATATTATCGGCTCCGTTAGTAACACAATATATGTTCAATGGATTAGAAGATTTTTATTAGCTAATACCTTTATAACTTATTCATTGGTATGTATATGTGTACAAAACGTATTAATTTAAATTTTGCATAAATAAGAAAATAGTAAATTTACTGGTGTATATAGTATATTCAATGTCGTAAACATTTATAACGTAACTTCAGACACCCATAAAAAATTATTGTGAATTTATTTCCAACTTTTTTTTAATTACACTAATATTATCTTATGAGAAACCTTGTGTTAAATTTGTACGTTTTTGACAGAGTAAAAATTATTTATCAACAATAATTGTAATGAAAAACTAAAAAAAATCTAGAAACTCTTATGATTATGGTTTTATGAATAATGTAATAATAAGAACAAAAGTATTTTGAACATTTTGTCATGTAGAGAAAATGCAGCATAATATAATAAGCCTTCGGTGATAGTTGAAAGTATGCAAGGTTATTTACTTTTGAGTTACACCAATAAAATAAAATAAATTTCGTCGAAGTTTCATTAAATTTATATCGAACTTTGAAACTTGAGATTTTCCCAGATAGTTAAATGATTATACACTTAAAGTTTATTGTTTATACCACATATCGATTTATGATAGTTATGTTTCAAATTTCAGATTACCTACTCTGCGGTATGTTTTGGTATATAACATTGATAAATGTTACGTCTAGTTCTCTAGTAAATAATATATTTAGATAATGACATTGTTAAAGTGTGCTAGTATATTATTATTTAGCGCTGAGATATGTATACTTCATAAATGGTATATTATTGATGTATACTTATCTAATAAAATAATAATGAACCAATTAAGTTTAAGTTTGTTTTAGCGTAATATTAAAATATTTTTATATTGTTTTGTGATAAACTGATAAACTTATATTTTTTTGACTGATGAGTTAATAGAAACAAGAAACTATATTCTTATCGTGTACATAAAAAAGTACCAATAATATGGAACAGAAAATGTCTAATGAAGGGACACATTGCATAAGTCAAATAAATTATTTTTGATTATAGACGCTCCGAGTTTTTTCATGATGTTTTGGCCCTCGTTTTGGTGGCACATACATGCCATTATTTAATACCTTATACTTTTTAGGACGGTTTGTACCACATACTTTGGTTGTGAAATAGGTTGACATTGCTACCTTTTGTAAATGTTCAAATGATACAAAGAACCTATGTTCAGATGTTCTACTTTAAATTTGACAAGTGTAAGTTGACGATTTGGCTGATGTGGTGTAACATAGGTAATAGATTTTTATTCTGCTTATAACTAAAATAATCTTTACTTATTTTTAACTATTTTTTAGGTACCTGAATTACAAATGGAGGAAGTTGTAGTGTATTTGAGGTCGGACACTACATTACAACAACCATAATTCGGTGATTAGCTTAGTACTGCATAATTCAAAAATATCTTGAGATATTATTAATCATTTTTCATTTTTCATTAGAATGTTTATGCTAAACCATTGAATATCGAAGACATTTATGAACAATGCATTATATCTTCACTATCGATATAATCATTACATTAAGCAATACGCTTATTATAATTAAAATGTGAAATTGTAAATAATGAAACACCTGAACACATTTGATAAAGTAAAGATAAAGTACTACTATTATATCTTAATATAATAAGAGGCATTTCATATAGTTTTATTATTATAATTATAATTACAAGTCTATGAACACATTACAAATAATATTATCTATATATACAAAAATGAATGTCTGTCTGTCTGCCCTTTATGCCCGTCTAAATGACTGGACCGATTTTGATGAACATTTTTGTGTGTTTAAGAGATTCTCTAGATGATAAGATTCATAGTTGGACACGGTAGGTTCAACCCAGAGAGGTGCTCAACCTATACTCAATTTATACAAAATAGTCATGCGATAAGTCATAAGCAATAACAATATTCATTTTTTGGGAAATTAACCCGATATTATTGTTGTTTATTATTGTCAGATTTTAGATTTTAGATACTAGGTTAGTAAGTAGGTACACTTAGGCAAATACTAAATTATATATAAAATAACTCAAACGAAATTCTAAAAACTATTTTATTCAAATATTATGCTCGTTAAACTTTATTGATTTAAAATTAAATTTAAAGTTATAAAAAAACATGATTTAGTCTTACGTTGTATTAGTTCTTAAAGTTTTCAAAATATTAAATACAATAATATAG